CGCAGGCTGTTGCTGGTCGTGCATCCTTTCTCATGATTGAATTATTTGTTCATGCTTCAATTTCCGCGTTCTTATGCCATATCTTTCACGTAAGGTTCCATTGACCTGCATAGTCGGGTCCTTCTTTGGTACAAGATATGTAGTTCCGTCTTACAGTATATATACATACACTAAATCCCCCTGACAACACTATCAAGTTGTGAAAACTAGGTAAGTCCACTTCTATATATCGAAAGGAGACTGCGATTACACCTGGAGGTCACACCATCTTGGTTTTCATACCTTAATTAATAAAATGATTTTTTTGATTTCGGGGCATCCTTTTTCCTTATTTACTATTGCTACTTCTAAATCTTATACCATGAATGTTATTCTAAATATTTGTTTCTCTGATTCATATATCCCCCCAAATCTCATTGCCAAGTTAACTAGCTTTACCTTGACTTCATTTTAATGTTGTTTAAAGTCATACTTTTCATTACAATAACCATTGCACAAAAATTTCCATCTTTTCCTGTTTTACAATTCGATTCTCGAAGAATTTCGACGCACCAGATGTACCCCAAGGTTTCATTTCTTATACAATTTTTTATACATCTTTTCTGTTACTTGCATATTATTTTAAAAAACAGACATAGTTAGGGTAGCAGACCTTTTTGCTTAGTCAATTTAATTTCTTGGAGTTGTGTTTCTCTGATATTTCTGTTTCCTCCTTGTTGCTTGAGCTTGTGAAAAGATTAATTTTTCTTCCACTTATTAGCTTTCGAACATGTGCAGAGCCACTCTTCGCGTAGAGCTGATTGAACGTGATCTTCAACTTCTGCAGCAAGCTGCCTCTGTGCTACCAGCCGATGAACTTATCGTCCGTATGATTCATAAACTTGAATTAAAAGCTTATATTAGGTAAGCTATTGAGCTAATTAATAGTTTATGTTAATAAGCGCGTTTGAGCTTTCTATTAATTACCCGCACAATTCCTTTTATAAAAATCAAATAGTCTTTAGTGATCTTAATTGTTCACTATAACTGTGAGCTCGGCTTCGCGTCACTTTATAGGATACCCTGGCCTTGTATAGAGGAATAAGAAAACGAGTCACGAAATGTAATGAATAGACGGGGAAAAGTCACAGGTCCCAATATGTAACGATGACGGAATGTTAGTTCAAGAGGGACATTTTTCAGTGACAGTGGGTCACAGACGATAATAATAGCACAAGGGGAGCGGTGAAAAAAGCGTACACCATGCTTTACGATAATTCATCAAAACTTGAATGCAATAAAGCGTGAATACACCTCATATAACTGATTTACTGGTAGTCTCGAAACCCTACTTATAAACGAAAAAACATAGGATACCCAACCAAATTATGAGGCGCCTCATTAAATTGACCAAATTGGATTATATGGGATAGGTAGGTTTGAAGCCATCCTCCTTTATGTCTTCGTGTTTTGGCGAATTATTGCTAGGCGTGGTTTCCTGTTCTAAAGATGTTCCTCACATGACGGACGAAAGCTCAGGAAGCATTCATCTGGTTCGCAGGGCGGGGCACTGAGGACATATTCACAGAAATAAGCATTCACGGCTCCAAGACAATCACCCTACAGCTTCCAGTGAGGCCAATTTAAGAATCCTTTGCACTTGCCTCTTCAAACGAAATAAAAATATAAGATACTCTTTGCTTGTCTACAGAGATAGCTTCCATTTTATTTGCTACATAACCGAAAATGAACACGTATAGGGCTATTAGGACAATTCTTTTAAAATTGTGAATACTGTCTAAATTCGAAATGTTCCTCAAATCAGTATGAAACACCAAAATGCTAGATGAAAGAGTTAGTGTAGATATGAATACCAAGACGTGACCTTCTGTTTAGTCGCAATCTCCTTTAGCTTTATAGTGTTGGTTCTAATTTGTTTTCGCAACTTGTTCGGAGCATCAGGGAGTCCTTGTGGAACCGTACCTAGTCCTGTGTTCTCTGCTATATTATTCGTGATTTCCAGCATTGGACCATGGGCTGGATACATTCCCAAGACGTTTCGCCGGCATAGCTAGAAGCGCCATCGTAAGCAGATGTACAACTTATCAAAGTTGTAAATGTGTTATCGTGTTATCAATTATTACTTAAATCAGTTTTCTCTGATATTAGCTAGTTCCGTATTCTGGTAAAATTGATATATCGGTTTTATTCTATATTATTTTATTCACAACTATATACTTACTAGAAAAATATTCCCTAACCTTATCGGGCTATCAGAAACATGTATGTGCTTTGAATAGGTTGCCTATTATAAATGCTTTTTAAAAATTAAACTATAAACATTTCAACCTACTTGATAATAAATTATAACAAATGTATCTTTTTCGGCACACTTGCTATTTTTTGACTACTTAAGTTTCGCTCTAGAGCATTCCCATTATGATCTTAAAAATTTTAAACATTATGTTAATATCATTATCTAAAATACAAACTCATATATATATATAGTCATTTTGACCATTAAGTGTCCCTGTACTTATTTCCACAATAATTATCTTTTTTAATTACCTGAAGCTTCATTGTACACCGCTTGATTGTTTACGATTCGCCTTTACATCTCAATTTTTAGCCAATCTCCTTCTGAACCTACCTCCTACCGTGTACATGCTGCCGAAATGCTACTGCGAACCTTGCTCGGCATCGTATCTAACCGCTATAGGCCTAGCATAGGTTACTTTGATGCTAACCGACTCACTCCTCTTCACTGCCAGCCGATTTCGGCCGAAACGCCACAACTATGCTCTTTTAACCAATCTGCGATTTCTGACACCGATAGATTTACTTCTACTTGGCCTTTGTCAGCATCAGCTCCAGCACCGGTGCGTTCATTATCGTTCCTGGACGATCTTGGCCTGAAGCCATTGATTGATCCCCAACTTGAATGCGAATACGGCCAACTGATAGAGGATGTGGTACACACATTATGTGTAAGACCGATGGCCTACAGTGAACTACTGAATAGCCTGCCGCAACAGCCTACTGAAAGTCCTCTGATGCAACCCATCACAGAGGAAGATGAGCCAGTCACTTCAGCTGTGCGGGTAAGACAGAAAGTATAAATTTTTAATTTGAAAGTCTAATGAACATCTTGGAACCAGAGATA